TGTGACGTAACTCAGCTCAACCAGACACCGCTAAAACCGACGAGTTATGCAAACCCTATACTCTGTGCAATGTTGTGCGTAGGTAAAGGAATGATTAACAGGAGGCCTACTTATTTCCTCTTTGTTTCATTTGCTGTTTATTGTCTTAATAGGAAGAGACTTAATGTATTGGCCAGTCATACAATTAGCTCAGCACTGTCAGCTCAAAACCCAGGACATTCAGACATGTCAGGAAATGGCAGAGTTTTGCAGTACAAATGATGCAAAGGATACGACAACACAAACACACACCTGGATAGTAACTATACTTTCACTTTCAATGATTAGCGAGTTATTTCAGCACAGCAGTGCGCTATGTGAAGTTTTATGGCCAGGTTTGCTCTGTAACATAAATTTTATGGGCTCATAACTACTAGCAGTAACATTTCACTTCCATGATCATTTGAATCCCTTTAGAAATGTTTTCATATGATTGGGACAAAGGTATCCTTAAGATTAACATGGATGGGATCTGCTAAGAACACAGGTCATTTGTAAACCTGGGTCAAAGAAATACACATTTGAACCTTTCTTTCATAGTTGGAACTGCAAAATGGTTGGGCTTGTCATATCAGTAAAAGCTATCTGCAACACAAAAAGTATACCAAGTAATATATATTTTTAATTGTTATTATTATTATTATCATTATTTTAATTAAAGTCCAGTAGTATGTAGGGGAGTTAATAGAAGAATGTAAGACAGGAAAGGAGACCAGGCTTACTGGAGGACATTACACAGACTCTATTGAAAACAAGCTTCTGACAAGTGGCTCCTTCTTCTCTCTCATCACTGTGATAAGCCCTCCTCTGCAGCCACAACCACACCTCATCTCAGAGTGGATGAACCAAACAAAGCCGACAGGTCTACCAGTGGCACTGGTGTTTTTATCGGTGTGAACACAACAGATATGTAGTAGATCTAATGAGACCTCTCTCACAAACGGCAAAATGTTCAGGTTGACACTCAGACTCACCTTGGTCCCTATACCTCTGTCAAAGGATGGCGCAAGATTAACAAAATATGATACTGCTTGGTTGTATGTGCTGAGGCTGTACTGATGAGTTAACAGTGTGATGAGAGATAAAGAAGGAAACACGTTAACATTTTCTGCGACTCCTCAGAGCAGACAGCCGTTTCAATACTCTGTGGAGAATGCACAAGATTTAGAGTCGATCTGAAGCTCAAAATTTGGAAAGTATTTGTGTATGTCTGATTATCTCTCTTCACTTGACACACTGACTATCAGATAACATTGCACAAAAACAAAGTGAGACTTGCTGGAGAATTTATGAACACAACTTGATTGAGTTAAGTTGTTATGATTTGTCCAGACCAAGTAGTTATCACTCATGTCCGCTGTTGGCGCACTCAATTCAGAAATCTCTCCTCTAGACATCTCTATTTCTCTTTTTGCTTGCAACACTTTTTTCTGGCATGTTCTCTCTGTCCTTCTGTCTCTCTCTCTCCATCAGTCTCACTGATTGCTCTCCCACAACATGCCTCCCGGTCCTGCCTCTCCACCACCTCTCTTGCTCCAGCCTTCTCTCACTTCTCTAATGAGTGTGTGTTACACAGGCATTCAGAAAACCTCCTCTGCTAATTACACGACAAGCATCTTGTTATGGGACACTAATGAAGAGGAATAGTGAGCTGGCAGTGGTGATGTGTGTGTGGTAGTTGGGGGGGTAGAACAGGTCACTGGGTGGGGTATTTATATGTGTATTTGTGTGCAGATGTGTGTACTGGTTGGTGGTGTGTGGGGAGAGTATTCTGGCACCAGGCCAGCAGTTTATCAGCCAGGGCGAAGTTGGACTCCGCATCACATTCTCTCCTTCTCTCTGTAGCATGCTTTTCCTTTTTAATCTTACTCTCTCATCTTTTTCCACTAAAGATCAGTTTAAGGGTGTTATTCTTCCAAGAAACATTAACTCTACACATATTAAACACGTCTGAGATTCGAAAGGGACGAGTCTTTGAAGTACAATACATGATAATCTGTCATTGCTCGCTCGCCTGTGTGCTAGATGTGCAGTGTTAGCTTCAATAGTAGAATCACTTGGTTGCTGGCATGCCATTAATAAAACACAGCATGGACTGACAAAACATGAACGCTGCAGTGCACATGCAAATATAGCTTGCAGATAAACACACACAGAGAGGAGACAGGACACAAAAAGGGGAGAGAGAGTGAGCTAGGCAGAAATCCAGCGACTCAGCGTGTGAGTTAGAGGAACTTGATCTGTCAAGAGGCACACTCAAACAGAAGATCGCTGTCCAGTACCATCCCTCGTGAAACGCTTGAGAAACACAAACCATCTGGAGGCTATAGTGCAGACTCTGACCCATCAAATATTGAGGTTGTTTGTCTGATTTACAGAGCCTATTTAGGATTGTTTGGACAACTTGGCTAAGGGATTGGTGCTTTAATTAAAGATAATACCAAGAACTAATATCGCCCCCAAGACCTTTGCCTCATAGTCAACAGTGCAACAATGTCACTGTTCTATGGGCAAGAGCTTTAAACATTTTGAAATGATTCTAGTTAGGCCTGATACAAAGGCTTCTCTATGTTCCTTATTTCACAGAGGTTGCTTCCCCAGATTCCCCCGATTTCTTTCTGCTGATGTCAATAGCAGTGCAGGCTTTTTCAGGCTCAGGGCATATTGATACTGTCATAAAATATTACATCCTCACTTTATTCATTAGAGCTGGGCTTTAATCTAAAAATATCATGGGCAGAGAATAAAACAGAGGTTTCAGCAGCAGAAAGATTAGGCCTGTACTCCTCTTACTGAGCGCCACAGCTCGGAAACACTAAGGCCCAAAATAGATGTTCTTCTCATAAAGGGCTCCTTCTTTGTAGTCAGCATACAGCAACAACATCTGCAGGGCAGTTTCTATGGGGGGAACAGATTCGGGCAGGCTATCAAAGAGAGAGGCAATCTCCTGTGAGTAGCAGTGGGTGGAGGACTTCCATATTCTCTCTCTCTATATATTTCTTTTTTTGACGATGTTAATAAAAAACCATTAATAAGACTTGTCAGTGCTATCTTTGGAAGATCCAAAATGAAAAAATGAGACAAAAGTATTCACAGTCTAGCGCTGCCCACCACGACACAGGGCACCATGTGGAAGACAGACAGCAGTGGGGTCTGGTATGCTGATCTAAATAAAGCATTGGGATGACAGAAGTCCATCAGTGTCCCAAGATAAAGAGAGGACATTAGCTGTGGAACAATCCCACCTTAGCTGAAACATTCAGGTTGTGAAATTTATGCCACAAAACATGGTTTGCTCCTTTTCTTCAAACTGTTGCTTCAAAGTATTTACCTCTTTGAGATGTTCCAATAAATTTTCCAATATGGGTTTAAATTAGGCACAACATGGGATTGTTGCTTCTCGACAGATGGCGTGGGTAGGAACATGACCCCTACATGACTCCAGGTATTCTTTGAAGGCAGATAATGAACCTGTCATGAAAATTTTGGGTCAGGGTTTAGTTTATCTGGTCAAGATTTAAACTCCCGATGGGCTTAGATGATGAGTGCTGCACTGAACACTGTCAACTATGAAATAAATAAAGTATGGATTATCGTAAAGATTTTAGATATTTAGAGCTGATGTAGATGCAAGAACACTGTAAGACTTTACTAGGAGAGTGATGGTGAAGGCTATAAACCTTTGCAGGTCTTTTGACCGATGGGTTTTACTGGCGGTGATGGCAAGGCGTTCACTATCTGTTTAATGTAAAACATGAGCACAGCCAGCACATAGATGGAGGCTCTGAACTGAAAAAAGGTGGCACCATAATGGGGAGGTGAAAGGCAAGGGGGCAACCTGATGACAGTGGCTTCATGCAGAGCAGAAGTGTATCGAGGGCCTTGCCTTTGAACTGGTGAGCCAGCTAATTGAAACAGCATTGCCGGGGTATTGCCTGAAGATCTGGGTTGCATTCATCCCTGCTTTTATTCAATTTGGTCGCATCACAGGGGCATGTCCTGAGTTTTTTTCTCCGCTTGGCAATAAGTCATACCCTCACCTTTTGCCCTCGACGTGTTGCCCATCTGTGTCCCCCGGGAGTCCGAGGTGCTCAGGCCGCTGAGGGATTCGGATGAGGTCTTGAGAAAATGCAGGCTCCCTGCCACTGAGCCCCTTATGGTACTTCTTCACGCCTTTCACCTTGGACTTGACCCTCCTTCCCCTCAGCTCCTCACACACATACCTCCTTGCCCTGAGACTTTTAAGATTTACTGTTAAGAGCAGCGGCTGTCAGGAGGTTTGAACCGTGCACTTTCTAATTCAAACAAATGCAGTACTGGGGTCATGGAATTATCATGGAGCCACAAGGTGTTTCGGATGACTCGCAAGTGTTGAGTGTTAAGCTGATAGAAAGAGAGAGAAGAACCGAGAGAAAAAGAGAGATGGTGCTCTATGCTGTTAGCATTGCAGTGCAAAGCTTGTGAGCTAACATAGTGGAAATACATAAACAAATAAAGCGATAAAATAGATAAACCCTCACACTTATACCTGGTTATCGCCAGCCCCTATCAGTGCAGGTGGGTGTAGATCTTGTACAGGGAAACTTCTCATTTCGCAGAAGAGTAGTCAGTGTTTTGTTCATGGCTTAAATCAGTGTCCCACATGCACTGGTTGTTGGTTGGGGTTACATGGTAGGAGGAGAATGATATGATAGTCAGTGATGTAAAGAAATGCATATTCAATAAGCAGATGCTTTTCAGGTGTACTTTTGCATCTCCTGAGACAAACGGAAGCTGCTGTTCCTCTTATTGTCAATTTTAGCCTTAGTAGTTTGAGACCAAGTTTCAGAGATCCACCATGCAGGACAATATTAGAGCCAGGAGATATTTACAGTACCAGCATAGTTAAAATTTAGTTTTATTGAACATTTAATTGACACACACACACCACTTTTTCCCAGATGAAAACATCACAGGAAGGTCAGCCATTGTCATCACACCTGTCTCCACGTGATGGCTTCCTGCCACTTTCCTGCTATTTTTACAGGAAGACTCTGGCTACGTGCAAGAGGAAAACACACTAACAAATAAACAAATGAAATACGAATGCATCTTAAAACCGAACAGGTTATTATTATGGTAACATTACCCGAAGCAGGAGAGAAAATAGTTCTGGGTTATTTAATGCATTGGGAGTCTTAACTTCATTGTTCAGATTTCCTGCCAAGCACAAAGGAAACATCATAGTTGACTTTATACTGGATGCATATTCGTCACATACACGTGGATTTTGGATGGCTCTAAAACTATTTATTTCAAACCAAACCGACTGAACACCAGGGACTCTACAGGTTTACACCTGTACCGTGGCTGCTTGCTAACTACAAACGCATGTGAGGTCCAAAGACTACATGGAAAGGAAAAAAAAACAGGACTTGGAGAGGAACACCGTACGACTGAGGGAGGGACTAAAAGTGTGCATAATATTCCTTTCCTCTGTGGGACTCGCAGCGAGCAGGTACAGCATCTCCGCAGTCCAACGCACAGCTGTTACGCTCAGCTGCCCACCGCGTCCAGCTTTACAGGAAACTTCTCACATCGGTAAGTGCAAAGTTTTACTGCGTTAATTAGCTAAAAAAAATCTATCATAGAATCAGAGGGTGTGTGATATCGCCGATGATGGATAAGGGTGGGAAAGTGTCGTTAAAGTTTTGATTTTTCCTGTGAGGATTTTTCATAAAACGTGCAGCGCGTCTTTTTTCCACAAATTGAGATGCGCAGCTTTAGACCTGTATTTCATCTCTGCTTAATTTTTGGAAAGTTACAACGACATATGAACTAAGAAAAAGTTACTCATCGTGCACGTTTGAATCTTTTTTAAATGAACTTTAATAATTTCCAAATGTTCAGTTTCTTTCACCTTCAAATAGAACAGTAATGTAAAAAATCTATTTATGTCACAAAATTTCTTATGGCGATATGAATGCTTTGCTCTTTTTTGTTCTGTCGTTTTTTTTTTTTTTTGGCATTTAAGTAAATATCTAAAGGTAGTGTAAGCATTTGAATGACAGCACTGACTTTCACATTATTCACTTTGTATATGACTCCTTCTGAAACAAGAGCATCTAAATCTATTTGAGCTGGTGAACATCTGCAAGCACTGAGCACTGGCTCATCTTTTCCCAGTCTGTCAGCACCTGCCATAAACTAGATATGCCAGATTGCTTAGCATATGAATTTGAGGAAGATGGGACCTGCCACTGCCCATGTACACCATTCCTCCTCTAATGCAATACTACAGCTTCCCGTCTCTTGTGTTGATGCTGCTTCAAGTAAACAATGTTAAGTGATATGCAAAATGTAGGAAAGAGAGGAAAAAGAAGGAGGATAATGAGGAGGAGGCAGTTTTGCATGAGGAGAAAAGGGGAGACGATGAAGGAGAAGTGATGGAAATGTTAGGTTGACAAGCCTCTGGATGGATAGAGTTGCCTCAGTAGAAGTCATTTTTCCTCATACAAATCAGCATTTTCCTTTTAAAAGAAATTCATCAAAACATTCCTATTAGCTAAAACTAAAACTTCAAAATTTAAAAACCTCCAAAGCTCATTTTTCATCTTAGTAATGTGTGTAGTTGATGTAACAGGTTATTGAAACTCAGCTCAAATTTCCCACTCTTTTTCCTTCATCCCCTTCCCTCTCCCTTCTTCTCTCTCTCCTCACATATACACCCAATAATACGCTTGCACACAAAGTGTAAACAGAGTGTGATAGATAGTTTGCTCCAACCTGCCTTGTCTCTTTGCATGTTGATCCTTTTAGCAGGCTCTGCTTCTCCTGTCTGCAATGTCCGTGATGAGTTACTACATGGATCCAGTTTCTTCCTACCCAGCCCTTCGCCCCTGTGACCGTGTGGGCGCAATGGTAAGACCTCCCTTGTAAATTATGTCCGTCTTAAGGCTGCCTCAGCTACCTACCACACAGCCAGACCGGAGTGTGAGGGAATGAGCGTTTGAATGTGTGTTAGCTGCTCAGCCCCATGGCAGTGCAGGAATGTGCACAGGAGCATCACCTCACAGGAAAGCACTCTCTCTGAACATTTTTCCTGTTGAGTTTAGGACACCAGTGTTGCACTGATAATCTATCTGTACATGCTGTTCCTCATGATTTCATCAAAAGTTAGGAAACACAGCTGTTGAACAAGTCGATTTTCTACAAAGGCTGTGAAATCGCCCTCATGATCTCCTTTGTGTTGTGCAATCAGTCTGCAACAATATGGGCTTCTCTTTAGCAAGTAATATTGTAAATATTGAGACCTGTAGGCCTCCAACTTTGCCACTAACCAATCAAATTGGAGTCAGACCATTCTTACTGAATAGCACTTTTCTCAACTAAGACACCCACACAGTGCTTTGCAGCAGCCTGTTTGCAAGAACACCAGGACTCTAAATGCTTTCCAAACGAGACAGCTGAATACAGAGTCAGAGACAGTGCTAGCTGGGAACATTGGGATTCCTGTCAGGTGAGCATTTGAAGGGTGAAGGCCAAGGAGCGGCAAAATAAATGCCTCCATTTGTATGCAGAGCATCGGCATATTAGGATAAAAGACTGAGGTTATATGCAAATGGAAACCGCACCCAGGCCCCACAGAAAACATGGAAGGATACAGCTCTCTGGATCCTAATTGGCTCAGGTGGTGGGCTTTGCCTTGGAAATTGAGAGTACTGTATAACTGGGCAGACTTGGTCAAAAGGTGAACCTGGGTCACCCAGTTGGTCTATTCTCTAGAATTTTTGTAAATTATCAGCAAAAGGCAGAGGGCTTGATGTGATTTATGTTTTTTATGTTTACTCTTTAGCGATTGTCAGGGTCTTAAGTGCATCACAAAGACTGTATGAAAGGAACAGTGATGGAAATTAGGGCTTACAATCTGTGTGTAGCAATTAAAAAAGTACCATAAGCCACCTCACGGCAAAGTGATCTTAATCTCTAAGCTATATAAAGAGAAATTTTAGAATAGTATGAGACTTCTTTACATGTGCAATAACATAAAGAACAGCAGAATACTTTTCCTTCTGCAGCTTTGGTTTGGAATGACATGCCATTAACCTTCTGATGCTGTTATCACACAAATTATTCTTATAATCAACACAAAAAGCATCACCTGTTTAGCTATACTGCAGCACAAGACAGCATGTGACTGGGTCTGTGGCAATAATCAGTCCATACAGCGGATATTCAGTGAGAATGCACTTGCCATATTGTGTCAGCACAGGTGTAGACGATCACAATTTTGTTATTTTTGCATCTACAAAATGCAATGCATTGTATTGTGTGAGTGACAGAGGAGAACTGCATTTGTTGTCATGGGCTTTTTTGTATAAATTTTATTTAGTCTTTTTTTTAAATTTCACCACCAAAAGGGCAGAAAGTAAATATATTGTGCTGTATAGTACATGAGAGTATGTAAATATATTGTGCTGTATAGTACATGGGAGTACTTCAGACATGACCAATGATGAAAAGCAGATATTTAAATTCATCATGGCAGGAAAAGCAGAAGTGCAACTAATAACATCAGCGACAGCTAATTTCTATTATATTTCTACGTCACTGAAAAAAACCAACAACTAGTCACTGCAATTCCTTCTTCAAAATACTAAGAGGCAAATAAACTAAACACACAATGAATGAATAAGCAGACTTGTACTGTATATGTAATCATGAGGCACTGTATTAGAATGATGAATGAAAAAAGGGTTGCTCATAACACTGGGGATTTCACTTGTTTTCCTCTGTGTACTGTAAGGTTTACTTTCCCAGATTGCAAAACATACTGTGATTTCAAAAATCTGTACCTTTCTAGACAGTTATAGCTAATCTGTGGGTTAACAAATAACATGTTAATATGTTAAAAAGCAGCCTGACACAAACTAATTACTCTGATTAAATCTTAAATCTTAATACAGGCTATATCTGATTTTGGCACAATGTGCAGTGTGAGCTGTACAATACCACTGCCTACTCAGAGCAGTCAGAACATTTGCATTTGTGCAAGAAGGGGCTGGATTATCACACTGAAAAAAAGTGTGTACTCAAGGTGCCAGCTCAGTCACACCTCACAGGAGTTAAACTTTATACGCGAGATCTTAGGTGCTCATTTTCGATTTGGATAGTGGCCAATTACTTGAATGCATGAAGGTCTCAGTGCTATCAGCATTTTGTCCCATTGTTTTATTATTGTTTAAAATGGACTATTTCCTTGTCCTGTCACAAAGATTTTGTCTGTAAAACACTCTCATTCTGGTTGTGTTTATGTAGAGTGCACTGCATTCAAATCAGTGTGAAATATGGAAAACTCTATATATGGTATTTATTACGATTACTTAGTTCAAATTGAAAAGGCATACAAGGTTTCTGCAAGAAACCATTTTCCAAGTGGCCTTTGCAATGATATTTATTCTATATTTGAACCGATCAAAGAATATTATGGTGGTGATATTATCTCTAGCGTTGTCTGATCCATAAATCAATCACGTGGCTCCCCCCATGCCTATCTGACTTGTTCCCCCTTGCTGGCTGCTGTGATAGGAGGTGGCAGCAACCCATGCAAACCTCTAAAGAGCCTCATAAATTAACCTCCCCGATCCGCTGGTCATGCTAGCCATCCATAAAGCTGGCCAGCTACTGATAAAAGCTTGTGTGCTTAAACAGGGGCTTCTAATCAGATATCATTCTGTCTGCCAGTATGTCGGCTAACATACAGTATCCGAGGGAAGCTACATAACAAGAGTGGCAAGAAAAAGCAAGTGAATTCATTAGAATTACCTCCATTTTGTATAAATTCTAAAATCCTAACATGTGTTTGACTTACAATTATGAACAACCTGAGTCCAATCTAACTAATAATACAAAAATCATGTCCTTGCCCAGACTGAATAAATATTTACAGTGTATCCTGGTAAAAAGTATGTATATGCCTAGAAGTGGGTGCACAGCTAGGATGACTCTACTGGCACAACAAAGAAAACTCAGTAAGGTAACAGAGAGTAACTACTAAAGTCTTAAAGCAATTATTGAAGTTGTTTAACATCTCTGCTCGTGATTCTACCAAATTATTGTTTGCATGGTTACGTGGAGAAAACCACTGCATGCCTGAGGTTTGCCAAAGAGCACCCTCAGTCTCCACAGCGCTACTGGAAGAATGATTTGTGGACTGATGAAGGTTGAACTGTTTGGGAAGAACATGCAGCACTACGTCAATGATGAAGTATATGCACTGTTACCTTTGGATGTTCATGGACGGGAGAATAAATACCCAAGGAAGCTAAGTAGAAGTTGGGTGATGCAGCAGGACAACGATTCTGAACAGAACTAAGTCTCCATACCAAGAAACCCCACCTTTTGGAGTGGCCAAGTCAAAGGCCCAACCTTAACCAAATAGAGATGCTTTAGAGAGTCATTCACAACAGGCATCCTGAGATATTGCTGAGCTGAAGCAGTTCTATAAAAAAAAAAATGGTGGAAAAATTATTTCTGAACTTTGTCTAAGTCTGATTCCAGTGCTTGTTTGAGGCTACTCAGGTTTGACCAGTGATTAAATCCACAGGTTCACTTACCTTTCCCCCCAGCACTGTGAATGTTTAATCTGTGTGTTTTCTTGTCACTGTAACTGTAGCATTGCTCATAGTCTCATTTCACATCTCACAAGCAATTGTTGTTCTCTGAATGACACATTTGTAAATTAAGCAAAAACACTGAAAGCTGATTACATACTGTAGCAGAATGCATCACTCCTGCACCCGCTAGGGAAACACCTTATTTCACTGTTTAAAAGTTTAAAATAGAAACGAGTTTTATAACTCTTATTTCAGTTAAAATACCACATTGTGTCTAGTTAGGCATAAGCTCCATATCAGTTTCAAACCCAAACATCCAACAACATCTGCTGAGGATTTTGTTTGTTGTCAAATGAAGGTTTTGATATGCTAAAAATGGCTAAGTGGCTATCTTCTCCTCGACTATCTCTTATATCCACACAAGTTCATATCTCCCTTGGCTCCCTTGTCTAGTGCTGACTTTAGACTTCCTTCTTGGTAAAACCTCTTACATGAACATTTCTGTGATAAGCAGGATAAAACAACACTGGTAAGATAAACTGAATGAGTCAAATTTAGCAGCGAAGGTTATCTGTGAGCTAAAACAATGACAAATTCGTTTTTAAAATCCAAGGTTATGCTGCCACCTAAAGCCACTGGAAAGTTTGATCAGTTGTTTTCAACTTACTACGTTCCCAGGCACAGAAATGCATGTATTTCATTAGTTAACAAACACATCGTTGGTTAAACTCAAATGTTGCATGAACACATAGAGTTAAAACACCAGCAAGCTGCAATAGTTCTAGTATGATTTTCTACTGCTATGTTATCTTGCTACATACATATCTTGCTGCATTCCTCTGTTGAGATATTTCCGCAGCTTCCACACTTGTAGATAATATAATAGTAGATCTCCATTCATTGGTTAGGTTTCATTCTTTTTTATTATTTCAAATTTAAGTTTTATTAATTTCACATCAGTGAGGGATGGAAATTTGCTCTTCAACTCCATACCAAAAACATACACCATAAAAGCAAAGTATACATAAGTAAATCTGAGTTACAGTATATATATATAAACAGTGTGCATGGATTTCATGCAGTGCATTTTAGCTCAACTGCTGTGTGTTGTTTGTCACCAGAGGCAGAGTGGAGGGGTGGTAGTGGGCCCTCAGACCCAGCTCCCAGGTGTGGTTCACCCTCAGCAGCAGTACTACCCATCACAGCCCCTGTACCCCCAGGATATACCCCTGCAGGAGGTTCCCAACGGACATGACGTGTGCCCTACAGGTAAGACATGGACTTAGTACAAGGCACTGGGAGAAGAGGCAAAATGCATATTAGGTCACGGTCAACATTTACAAATGTACTCTATTTGTTAGTGAATGTTTGATCAAGATGTAAATATTTTGAAATGTTATGAACTTTTATTAATGAGCCATTTTTATGATTCCTAATAGATAGCTACACACAGAATACCTTATACATGTATGTATATAATGATAAAAAATGTACAACAGTTCATTCTGAATAAACAACAAACAAAAGATGTTGCGTTAACTGGAATGATAAGTGGGCAGGCTGTCACACTGTAGCATTCATGTGTGTGATTTTACAACACATATTTAAACTCATGTAGTTTTTAGAAACAGACACACAACACAAACTTTCTCAACTTGGCCTGTTGTTCTGCATCAGCTGCATGAGGGTTATTGGTGATGCTGACCTCGAGGGCAATGCCTTTACCAGACGTCGCCTTTCTCTCTTTCTGTCTCTCTCCCACGTGTTTTCTGGGGACACCCAAATGCCCTGCATTTTTCTGCTTTCAATCCTTTCTTTTTTTTTAAAATGAGTTTTATTTTAAACTGGAACATTCCTTCCAGTACATTTGCCTGCGCTTGACACTGGCCTCTTCTCGTCATCAGAAGTGATTGATGCTGGTGAACTGGGACACACGCCACAGGAGCAGGGTAGGGGTGCTGGGGGGCACAGGCTTTCTTCCGTCACCTCCCTGAGCTGGATGCAGGGGGCAAGACAGGGGGCCAAAGAGCGGCCATCTTTTTCCCAAGCCTCTGGTTTAGTCTCTGGGGATGTGGAGGGGGCCTAAGTGTGTGTATGTGTGTGTGTGAGGGAGTCAGGATTTGATGGGATTTGCTGATGTTTGTTGCCAGAAACACACTCCTTCGAGCCCTCACTTCACTGCTCCCAGTGCTAAACCGTTGACATAAACATTGCTGAGTGGAAAAAAATGACCGTGCTTTGACCTTTCTTTTCCCCACCCTTCTCCTCAATCCTACACTATGCAGACCACAAGTATAAGAGCATTTGAGCCACCTGGAGATGTTATTGGAGTCAGCTCTTGTTAATAGTGTCAGCTACTGAGATTTGGAGCTACCCGCATATGGTGAGATAAGTCTTTGCTAACCTCAAGAGCAGCTAAATAACCTCTGACACACCCTGCAGCCGTTGCTTTGACTCATTTCTCTCAAACTGAAAACGGTCTTCCCTTCAAAATTTTACAGTTTCAGAACACTCACATTCATTTTGCACATTAGTACTACTGGACAAACAATTTCACCTTCCTTCTGCTGTTTAAGTGGTTTGGAATCTCCACTGCGAAGTCAAATATCCATATACCATTCATTTTTTACCACTGACATTGAAGCAAATATTATTTTTCTTATTAACAGAAAAAAAAAGTGTTTTATTTAATCAACCTGGAAACAACTTTGTCAATCAGCTGAAGATCTGACAGAACATAATGGAGCATTTTGACTTACACCACTTATAAGTTACCTATTTAAGTTTCATTTTTAAAAAAGTAAAAGTAAAAATGTCATCAGGGAAACACTGCTGCATGTAAATGCAAACTCCTTTACTGGATAAAGATAAATCAGCCATGTTTTTTTATTTTATGGACACAGTTGTTACAATGTCATCAGTAAATAAACATAAGCTTGTAGCTTTTTGAAGAACTGCAGGTAAGGCAACATTCGTAACAATCTCACAAAGTAAATCCGCTGTCATGGATATATATGGGGTGATGTATTTTATTTAACTCTTAAAGTGGTTACATTACATCAGATTTTACAGTTGAAGCCACTTTCTGTCCTGGAGAATTGATTTGGTTTTGTTAAAAGAAATATATGCTAGTGTGAGAAAGAAAGAGTGCAGAGCAGATGTGAGGCAGGGATCGTAGATGTTAAAGGACCAACGCATGTTTGGCCCAGAGCCCAGTGTCACACACACTGGCTCCTGACAACAGCCATGCCATGGTGATGTTTACACTAACATAGCTCTACTATCCAACACTCAAACCACTGTTGTAAACTGTGATTGTAGAAATTCGCCATGTGTGTGGGAAAAATGAATTGAGTGTGTAATTCAGATATCACACACATTCATACACACTCCAACAACATCCTGCATTGATGCACATTCCGCATATTCATTCATTAAATTCACGCCCTGCACCCTGGTGTATATTGTGTTCCTGCATCCTCCCATTGAGTAAAACACACACACACACTGATATCTACTCCCAGGCACTGCTGAGCTCACTGTACATTTAAAGTTGCACTCCCATTTAGTGCACACAGACACAGCTGTGATCTGGCACTCAGGGATCATTGGCCAGTGTTTTATTTGATGTGATTTGACAGCTGGACAGTTGGAAGAGGAGGGGAAAGGGGTGGAAAGCAAACGAGAGTGGGCGGAATACAGTTTGAGGAGAGACGATAGATAAGAAGAGGGATAAGTCACAAGACTTGGACTGACGTTAGTGGGAGAAGAGGAGCATTTGAGATGTGGAGCCTAAAGAGGAGGGGACTCTGCCTCTGATGAGGGGCACGTCCTCACGGGCGCAGGCCCATTTTTTATTTCTAAAAGTAAACAGGCAGCCTGTGGGGGTCTGGGGGGTTATGGGAAAGGAGGAAACAGTGATGCTAATCAGGCCAGCACACACATCCCCCTCCAACAATAAAGCAAAACAAGAGTGGAAACACGGAAAAGCGACAGACAACTGTGGAGGAATGGGCTACAGCACTTCCATGGTCCTAGATTTGAACTGCATAGTGCAATGATAGGTCTGAGGCAAGAGTATTAGGCAGTAAACAGTAAGGTAATCAGCTAAGCTACTTCTGCACTGCATATTTGTAGATTGTGAAGTATTTTTGTAGAATTCTGAACTGTTTGAGTGAGTTTCCCCATTGGACATCTGAGCAGTGGTTGCATTGTGCACTGAACTCAGTTTACAGTAGCGTCATTCTGGAATTTCTATCCCATAACTCAAAGTACTGCTTCACTGATCTAAAAGGAATCCATCACAAAGAATTACCCATTAAATGTAAGTATTTTGTTAAATAAATAGTCTTGACCCTAAGAAATGCCTCAGTATTTCTCCTTCACTAATAACTCCTGGGTATTTATGCTGCTTGTAAAACTACCTCTTACTTCCAGCTAGCATTTTTTAAAATCCTTTTCCCAGAATTCTACACGTTTTATTTCTAGGAACTTCAAGTGTGGTAAGTTCCTCCCAATAGCGTGGTGACTAATTACAAACCCCTTCAGTTGGAGAACATACAGTTCTGAAACACATGCAATCACTGATGTCTGATGATGCAACCGATACCAGCTCATCAGGAAAGGTGGTGGTTTAATGCATCCTAAGAGAAACCTCCCATTGTTTTAATGTTTATATTTTGAGCTTAGCAATATTCACAGACTGTTAGCTACAATGAGTGTATACTGGCACTGGTAAAAGTGAATACCTCCTATTGTGTCTCAAAATATGTTGAATCCAGTCCATCCTATAGTAGTTAAGGCTCAGTTCTTCTCTATCTTCACTCAATATAAACAACATTTATGTAACACTTAACAAAATAGAGCAACCAGGAACTTTATTTTCACAGCTAAATCATTATATTTCTGGAGTGTACCATTCATTTAAATGTTGCAGCTTACTATAATGTACTGTACATCCTTTATTTATTCAGTGAAAATATATTAAAACCGCAGAATGATTTTCCTTTCAGCTGTGAGGACTAGTAGAGCTTTATCTGAGAGTGTGGTGGTAACAGAGAGGAGGGAGGGCAAGACGTGGAGAGGGAGGTCTGGGAAGCAAAGAGACTCTGAGGGGGGTGGGGATAATTGAATTATCTGCACAATGGAGTGATGGGGGGCACGTGGTGCCGCTAATGGAGGAAGAGATGTCCTTTTTAGCTAAGCTAATTGTTCAGAAAAGAGCTGAGCCTTTGTTCAGGGAGGCCCTGCTACTTTTCCAGTGCACTTACATGCACACAGTTTAGCAGCATGCACACAGACATAGACATATACTGTACACTTACTGACACACACACACACACACACATACTCTCAGAAGAGTCTTTGGAATGTGAGGCACAAGATAGAGATGTACACACACACACACAAACACACACACACAGGGATATGCTGCTCCTGTCCCAGCTAACCCTCTGATCTCAGCAGGAGTGCATCCAGCCTGTGGCACTTTTAAAGCATCCATCACAGACAGGGCTGAGACAGAGCCACTAGACAGAGGCCACAAGGACCCCACTGTTTTACTGTTCCACTGTCTCCCTCTGTGTGTGTGTGTGCACTCATCCATCACCCATCTATGTATGTGCCTGTTAATGAGTGACTGATTGATTACATGCTGAATGCTGTCCATTCAAAACAACATACCAAATCTGTCAGGCTGTAGCCATCGTCTGAGATGTTTTACACTTCGATTTTGTCTTGGCTAAATCATCATTTTAGATGTTTTGTTTGCACATGTAAAGTGGGGGGAAAAAAATGAAACGTAAATACCAAAACAAAATCTGCCAAAAGTTTGCTGACTTGCTGCAAGGGCACCAACATCAAAGACAGATAGCACTTGACAGCTGTATGGAATGCTCCAAATCGAGTAACCTTTCAGTTAACTCTGTGAAAAGTAGCAGGTGCAACGGTTGCATCTAAGGGTTGTAGACAGGCAGGCAGCACAGATGTGCCAGTGAGAGACAGACAGCGAACAGGAGAGACGAGTGAGGAGAGAGAGTGAGCTGCTTTAGCTAGACGTGCTACACTGCAACGCAAATAAGTGAAGCCAGCTAACTGTCAAAACCATGGCAACAGCACTTGCCAGCTCAAGAAAAGAGACACTGAAACCAAAATTAGTTTGATCTGAGACGTGTCCTCAGGTGCACTGGTTCATGCACTGGCTCTTGGTTTTCTGACTATAAGACAGTTAATGATATCTCTGTCTAAAAAGGAAACAACAGCCTGTTTCA